CGCAATTGTACGTGTGATTTACAATATTTATAGGTTTTCCTGTTAGTTTATTGGTTTGAAAACATACGCAAGTATAGGTCGTATTTTAGTAGTGTATTTTGTTGAACAGTAATTATTTACTTTTATTCATAGTTGTAATATGTATTACACATTAGTTTCTATAAATAATGCTATTAATAGCATTGTTAATTATATATAATTTTTAATACTTATATCAAATCTACATTATTTATATTGAGATTGGTTATGAATTAATGAATGTTTATTTTATTTAAAGTAGGTACTTGACAACTGTATATCTAATTCACTATTACATATATTCATTTTTCGTTTGGCGAATATTTTACTTTTATGAAAATATTACGAGGATTCAAAGTACGTTTATGAGCTCTAAATATGAGACTAGATGCTTTAAATATAAAAAACATGCATCTCTGATTTACTTAATTCTATAAGAGTATGTAATTCCAATTTGTGAAATGTACCGATATGGGCGCGATCGATAGATTTTAACAGTGAAACAGTTTAAACAGTACTGAAATGCATCGAACAATAAAAAGAAATCACTTTGTACATTACAAAGATTTAACAAGAAACAACTTAAGAGAATTTTATTGTATGCTTAACAACGTGTGATAAAAATACAAAGTTTTAAACGAAAGTAAAATTTGAATGCAGAAATGCTGATTTTCGTTGAACGGGACAAGAAATTTCTTTCCCACACCATTTATCGATACATACCTTAAAAATGACGAAATAAGAAATTAAACAGTAAACTTAATAGAAAATTTCTGCAATCTACTCTGTGGATTTAGTGTTTATACCTATGTAGTCTTTTATACGTTTCAAAGGTTAGAAAATATTATATATGGTAGTAAATTTAATACAAGGACGGATATGTCAAGAAAACATTACAATTCTATATAGTACGATAAAACAGTAACCATTTCTGGAAATACTCCACAAATTACCACAGAAAATATTAACAAATGAACGATTAATTAATAAATATAATATGACTCATTTTTTAAATTTATTTATGAAAACGTCATCATTTACGGTTTAATTAAAGATCTTAATATTTTACTTTAGTAATAGCATATAACATAAAACGATAAATTTGTTCTGAAAACGTTTATTCCTGTTGTTTGTAAATGCAAAACTTTCGAAGTGTGCCTGAAGAGGTCGTCGACGAAAAAAGGGAAGAGAAGGCAAATTACCCGACACGGAATGTATTATCTTTACTTGATAGACCCTACACCCTCGTAGCAGTGTTTCTCAGACATGAATCTTCCCGTGAACGAATTTAAAAGTAATAGGCTTTCGGCGAGAAAGAAAGAATATTGAGAAACACTACGAGCTCGACTTCCTTTTCTCCCCCTTAGATTCAGGATTTACTACCACCGATTCTTTCTAACGCATAAATTTATTCAGACAAATTCTATAATTACTTTTCCGACTAAAATGTCATGCAAGCCGAAAGTTAAGTAGCACTTCAATTATTTAAAAAATATTTATATTCTTTCATTAATTAATGTACCTATGTGTTTTTATTAGATATACATTATTATTAAGTAAAGAATATAAAAGATGATTAATGTACAAATTAATTCAGAATTTATTTAAAAGAATTAATGTCTCACTAAATAGCTGTTTATATACTTTTTTACAGCAACATAAGTGATTTGAATTTTTTTAAGAGTAACTACATGTTTGTAACACATCTTTTATAATTTGCATACCTACTTGTGTTTTGTGTATAATCAACTTTTGAGTATGTAGGTATACCTACTACGTATTATTAGAATATCTTCTTTGCTCAGTGTATATGACTCCAAATGAAATTTCAATTTTTTATAAATAAAATAGTAATAAAGACATACCATTTTCAGTAATCACTGACAAACACAATTCGATGGATAATGGAAGTGTAATGCAAAGTTGAATAATAAATAATACAAATTTAGATAATAAACACTTATATTAATGTACGGAAGTAAGTATTGTTCTAATAACAGAATATTATACAATACAATACACTGCACTGATTATCATAAAAAGTATAGAAGTATGTATACTCTTTACACGTATTTCATAAATGCTAAACAATTCGAGATACGTAAATGTAGGTAGGTACAGTTACACCAAACGAGCAAACTCTCGCTCTTCCCCCACTCTAGTCAGTTGTACATTCACTCATCCCAGTCAATCAATACGTAAAAGAATTCTTGTTCGCTTTAATTTTACCGAAGTGGAGGAAGAGCGAGCATTCGCTCGTTTGTTGTAACGGCACCTTCACGAAAGTTTCAAGCATTCAGCTTACCGAAACACGTGTAAAACGACTTATGTACGGCCTCAACACTACCCAGTCAGTAACAACAAATAAAATCAGAAAAGTATCCGAGACATACAGAAGTCTAAAACAGATCGTAGAATTTTATTGATAATTAATTATGTTAACTGTAGCGAATCGTTGACGCGATCATAAAAACCGATGAGAACACAACATTTTCTTTGTACACGTACCTATTCCTTTGAAGACAAGTGATAACCAGGTGTAGAAAATTACTGAGAACGCTAAACCTGACAAGACAAAGATCAGGTAGACCAGTCGTTATACTATAGTGAGCCTGGACGGTCTCCAGAGGGAGAGACCATGGATTTCCCCGTACTTGATTACACTTCGATAAAAACTGGAGCAGGCTAGGTGCGAGTTCGATGCAGCTTCCACATCAAAGTGAGGTGTTTCTTCGTGATACGTGACGCACCTGCCATTAAATGTCTGCACGTCAAGATAGCTTCCTTGCCAGACGTAGACGTCTCGTCCGAAAAGGGTAGCGACTACTTCACCATCGGGATATATTTCAGCATACCAACTTGCAAATACTTGGACACCAGTCATTGATGCGATTTTCTTGTCAACTACGCCGATTATGCTTACTTTTTTCAGCGTTTTATCGCCGGTGGAATTTGTTAAGTGGTGTCTGTAAACGAAAGGAAGGCAGTCCCCAAAAAAACCGACCTATAGATGGTCTGACTAAATTTGGAGAAATGTTTGACCAATCTTAGCTCGTAAATGCTAAAAAAAGAATTCGAATTACCATAGAACGTAAACAATCAAGCGAGGCTGAACGTATTAACTTTACTATCCTGGTAACACGGTTTAACGAGCGTTTACCAACTATTTGATATTCCATACGCGTGAAGAAAGATACGAAAATTCCGCTGACAATTCTGTTACGTACCGTTTCGAATTTGTTACATTCATTTTCATTAGTAAATTTCGTCGACAAATATAATACTTCGATTGTATAAAAATGATACTATTCTGTCGTATAATTGCTTTCAGGAGCATTTGTTGCTGTTAAAAAGTAAAACAGTATAATTTAATTAGTCTTCTTACGTTCGTAAAAACGAACACGTGTAACATTGTACGAAACATCGCGTACAAAAAGAACTCGTGCGCGTATGCATATAATCTCGTCGAGCGCGCGTTTCCTGTTGATTGTTTTCCCTGAATGATCACCCTACCAACAAATCTGACCGACATTCGAGATAAAAAAATTATTCGCCAATCATTTCGTTCAATAATCAGGATTCGAAGGTTCGGCGAAACAGAGACGAAATGCGACATCAGCCTAGAGCGACCGCGGCGCGCGCCGTAATAACAGCCTCGTGTTGTTGCCGTCAAGGCGCCACCGTCCTTGGCCGGCGAGGTGGGCGTCGGTGGCAGAGACGGGCGTTCGAGCTGATTGGCTGAAAGGAACACAGTGGATTGGAGGAAAAACGGGGATGGGCAAGGCGAACTCGACAGGCTGGCCGCCGCGGCGCGTCCATGGCAGCCACACCTACTTAGAACCTCGAGACCCGTCCCCGTTGGGACTCGCTGGCACGCCACTCGTGCCGGCCCTGACACATTCGACAAGCGGCGCCGTAACGGGAAGCAACGCGCGGCTGGGGACCTTGAAGGACCTCTCTTCTGGTCACGAGACACCCTACCGACACTTTCGTGCCGACGATATACGCACCACGCCACCGTCACCCGCTGCTCAGATTACCGGTGCTCTACGCGTATCCACCACGATTACTTCATCCCAAGTGGATCGTTCGAGAATCTCGGAGGACTCGTCGCGTGGGCACGCTTGGGGATCCTCGATCGAGAAGACTAAACTAAACGAACGAAGGATTCGAGTTTTTCGTGGAACTAGAATCGTCCGGTACTTTTATCGGCTTACGTTTCGCCGAATACCGTGTGACGACAGTGCGAGCCAGTTCAGTGACGATCGCGAGTCACGCGCGGTCTCCCGCGCGTATTGGGGGAACACGAGACTTGTCAGGCGGATCGTAAACAAAACTGAGTGAGAAAACAATAGTGATCAGTGGAAACGGAGGAAGAAACGGAGGCGATCGTGGTGTCGGGTCGATCGTGGACTGGTGGATTCGAAAGTCGTTCGCGGACACGCGTGTGCGCCGACACGCGTTCGGCTTCGTAGTCGATGTTGTGACGGGAGGCAGCAGGGAGGCACGAGGTTGTGTGTGCACCTGTTACGGACATTGATGCGTAGCCACGAGGCATCCACGTCGGAAGGCTCGATTGATGCCCGCTAGTGAATAATCGTGGCGCTCGACACGAACGTTCTGACCGAGAGGCAACCTCTCTCGATCGGTTGCAAGAGGCTCGCGGACGGGCAGAGGAAGATTCTCGCGAGGAGTGACATCGAGAAGCAGAAAGCCTGTTGCCTCAGGAGAGTCCGTACGGCCTCACGACGCGGTCCGACGAGTGGAGTGGTCTCCTGCCCAGCTCCACGATCGTGGGTGCTGGGGGGTCGCCATGGCTCGGACTCGGCGCTGGGGGTGGCACGGGTACCACCACCGGGGGCGGAAGCCCGGTCGAACTGGAGGGTCACTGGGGACGTAAGCTGTACGGGGCGAGCGTAGCTCCGCCACCGCCGCCGCCTCATCACCACCCGCGAGCGCCGCTCGTTTTCGCGCCTCAGGACATGAGGCAGATACTCAAGGAAGAGCCTGTACCACGTGCTTGGCCACAACCTGCGCTCGCCGATAACGGAACGTGAGTACCAACACTCTTGTATCCTACTTATCTATGTCTTATTCGCTGAAACAGTTCATGATTCAGCTTATATACTTTATTCTCACAAGTCTTAGGGTTAAACGCAATTTTTTTACGTCTGTAGTTTACGTTAATTCTCCTTTGATGGGAAAGGCAAATGTAAAGAAACTGGTAGGTAATTGTTTCTTTAAGCGAAAACACATTTGTGTACCGGATAGGACTGTATTGTACGAATGGGGTAAAAGGTGCAGGAAACAGTTTTCCTTTGAATAAACATGGAACATGGTTTGTTTTGAATCTTTATTTCATTTTAACATGCTAGTTAAGGTATACATTATAGCCATCAGTCTTTACAAAGTTGAATGGACTTTATTGGGTTTTAGTTTTTAGTACAGAAAGTCTCATGTGTCTCGTGTTTTTTTAAACCCAATTACCGAATTTATTGAGGAAAATGATTTAGGTTACCATAGTTTCGTACTATCGACATTGTGATGGTGAAGTTGGATGAATCATTTCAGATATTCACCGATTAAGAAGTTTCCCAGATAGCGCATGACATTTAATGACGCCTTGAAGACGGCTTAAAGGCTAAAATTAGACCTAAAATAGCCGTAAAATGGTCGTTTTCAAGGCGTCATGTGCTATCTGGGTTATGCAGAGAATGGAGAAAATAAAAAACCGGGCCAATATGGAAGGAAAAAATTGACTAAAACCAGTCGTAACTGTCTAAGCATTTTGCATGGTTAAAATTTCTGTAAAAAAAACAAACATAAGTGTTACTCCAAACGAACAAATGTAGTGTCAATATCAATGATACTTTTCCTAAAGTGGTGGCAGAAAATGGTAATATCGGTGAACCGTAAACAAATACACCTAAATAAAACATGCACAGCTGTATTCTGTAAGATGTACACCCTGTATGTTATTATCATTTTTTGCATGATAAAACCGTGGTAGTATAATCTGGACTTGAGTATAGCATTACTATACATACATATAACTCTCCCATTGCTGGCCGACGGATAACGTACTATGAGATTATAACAAAATATGTTTGGTTAAAGTATACGCAAAAGAATGTAAGAAACACGTAGTAACTTTACACCACTCACGTTATAATAATTATGTATATTTATATTTTTTTTTTAAATTTTCAATCGATCGCCGATCTTGATTTTTGTAAATTTCGTTCCATTCGCACGGTATATAAGAATAATTTTCCAGTTTTTATAGACAAAGCACATTATTATTTTTGCGGCTTTTTCACCGCAACAGAACCCGTGAACAGGCACGAATTATGTCATGTTATCAGGAAAGAGCGAGGATAACTTGGGATTCCGTGGGCCGGGAACAACCAGTCAGTTTATCTTTGGAAGCCAAGCGTTTCAAAACGGTTCACACGTAGATGCATTTGGCGAACGATAAACCGTGTTTTATTGCAGCCTCGCTTAAGGGATTTGTACGACGTGCAAACGACGAAGGTACAGATACGCGGACTCGAGGAGGTAAACCGACCGGGTTGGGGATGCGCTAATCCAATACCAGTTCTCTTAACTAACCCCTTCCAAGTGGCGTGACACGGGAACCGCCGACCGGAATCGAGTTAATGTAATTGAGAATTTTAGCGCCTTTGCTCTCGTCTCCTTTTGCCGTTTTCACTTTTACGCGATTGTTTTCCCTTCGGGCTATTACGGTCATTCAGTATTTCGAAGGAAAACTAACAAAAATGGCTACAGGTATTTACAAGGAGCAATGGCAACGAGTAATAATCTAGATTGCTATCGGCGTTACGTTGATGAATTGACTAATGCTTTTTTTGATAGTCTTGGGAATGTAAACTGTGAAAATGTTTGTCACTTTATGGGAAGCTAATGTTCCTGTTTCATTTCTGTACTGTGTACACGTTTAGAATAATTTCTGATTTTTGTTCGAATATCAAATGCAAATACGTAGACTTATAATAAAAAAAATACTTCTCAAAGAACATTTGATTCAAGTGTCCCGCGGTTCAGTCTATATAATTATAAGAAATTTTGGTACTATTTTAAAATTATTTTTAACGTATAGTCAAAAACTACGTTATTATGAGAAAAATGGAGGAAGCAAAAAATCGGGAAGTAATAATAATGAATTTTTTTTTCTTCATGAAATAATTAATAATTCCAAATTTTCAATCCAACTATTTCTACTTAAGGAATTATATTTATATAAGGATTACTCAGAATACTCTTGAAAGTTACTGCTTTTTATAACAAACTTTTTAAAAGTTTCATTGGTATCGGTTTCTATGTAACTCGTTATTTAATAGAAAAAACGGTAAATCGTTTTAAACAAGTCGCTTAGACAAAATGATAAGTGACGAGATCGTTTCTGTTCAAATTTACGATGGAAAGTTATGTTTCCTCCATGAAAAGCGGCTGCAACCAAACCCCTAAAAAAGTTACCCACCTAATGAAGCAGCAAAACCATCGTGCTCGGCGAAGGGACGAGATGTGTCGTCCCTGAAAAACGATGACTTTCTCTGTAACTGCGGGGATGAAAGTGAAAGGAGTGCACGGCGGAAAAAAATTCAGAAGCAATTGTTGCTTACGCAAATCAGTGAATACGTTTCACGAATTTAATTGTAAAATATCTTTTCATGTTGCGAGGTGTTTCTAAAATGAATATCATTAAAATATCAACTATTACTTTGTGCATTAACACATGCCTACACATAATATAAAATGATTCATGTAAAAGTATGTAAATGCATGCAGTGAATCGTAGATATACAGGCAAGCAAAAAAATTATTAACCATTTGTGGGCTAGAATTTTCGCAGGTAAAAATGCTCTTGTTCATTATGGAACAGGATTATGCATTAAAGAGTTAATTATTAGGAATCAATAAAAAAAATAATACTGTCATCCTATTTTCGAACAATAAAATTATTATGTAATTGGTACAACAACGTTGTTTATATGGAAACAACTTTCGACCGTAATAAGTGAAAGTATGATTTGTCCGTAAGGGATGAAATAATACTTTGCCAACATTTGCTTCAGAAACATGATTACAATACCTAAAATCATTATATTAATATTAGCCAATTAAACTTAAAACATGACTTAATTCCGTTGTAAAACAGAACACGTACTTTCTGTTAGAGTCGGCGTTTTTAAATCTCTTGCTGGATAATTCGTTTGTCGCAGTCTTTGCTTATTAAGATTATTGAGTTTATTGAGTTATGTTTAATACGTTTAGTAAGTTTTTCACGAAATTTTACAAAAGCCTCCATTTTTATGATTGATATTCAAATAGGTTAAAATAAAATTCATAGTCTTCAATAAATTAATAAGTTTATTGTCACGTATGGCATTAAAATACTACGTTAAATTGAACAGCATCCGCAGCAATGCGGCCTGGTCGCGAATTACATTCAGATATATTACAAATTGCTCATTATCTCCGGGCGCATTATGAATCACGTTGGAAGCAAGCGTAAATAGACTGCGTTTCGGCCAACTCGTAATAACTAACGCCCGGTGTGGTGTACATTAACTGCGGATTTATTGTAATTCTCCGCGATTGCTTTATCCACGAATTCGTAACTGTATCCGTGGGGTTGTGTTATCCGCATATTTCGTCCCTAATGCATTGTGCGCAAATAGCATAGGTTGCGGGTTCGCGTGTATAGACTAGTCTGAACAGTTATTTGGCGATCTGTTCTCTGAAATTGCTGGCTAGTCAATAGTTACATGTGGATCGATAAAACAAAAATATTTCTCGTTCAACCAACAAACTTGGCTTGGGCGTCAGTGACATAATCTAACGTCCCTGAATGAGATTTTCTTTTTACATTGGATCGTTTTCTAAAAAGCATTTTTTCTACGGAATTCTGAAATATTTCAAATTTTGCCGTTATTTCTTAAGGTACATATCTTTGAAAATTTAGAATAATTATGAACGATATGTATCACAACAATATAACGCTAAAATTAGTTGCTTTCTTGTGGTTTCATGTTTCATCGTTCTTTTATTGGAAAAACTTGTATCTAATCTCTGAAATATGGGTTTGTGTCGCATTCCTCGAATCATTGTTTAAATCTATGCGTAGCTTAATCATAGATATTTTAGCAAGAAATAAGAGAAATTCTTAGAGTTATTTATTGGATTCTTTCTTTTGCTATACTGACTTATGGTTTCCCAATGCTTCACATTGAGCTAAGATTTAAAAGCAAAATCATTTTAAATTACCCACTTTTTTACATTATACACGTATAAGACCAAAAAGTATAAAATGGAAATAAATAAAAGCTTATCAAATGTAGTAAAAACAATAATTTTGTCTTTCTTGCACACACATAAGCTAGTAATTTCGAAACATAATTAATTTCGCATATCGTAAACTTTGTGTAAAACATTATTTCCCAAAATTATTTATACACATTGAACAATATTTGAAGGAAGATTGTGCTAGATTATTCTCAACTCTTGCATACAAAAAAATAACTTCTACGTGATGAATCTTTAATTTTCTTACCCCCCTTTTGCCCCCTCACCAGTATAAATCCCAATGCAACAGTTTAGTAAAAAATGTAGGGTTCCTTTTCGTACGGATCACAGTTCTTCCAAATCAGTTAAGCGACCTGCATTGTGTCCATGGGCGTAGTCAGGTTATCAGTCAGGAAAGGGGTAGGGTGGGGG